GTCCGGCTGGGCTCTCCTCAGAAGAAGATTTAATTATTAATGCCCGTTACTAACATTTCAAATGGGAAAAGAAGAGACATGAAGAGCTGTTAATTTCTGATCGTTCCCTGAGCGCACACTCATTACAACCAGCAATTCTAGTCTGGGGAGCTGAGCTGCTCTGCCTGAGAACCCTAGTGCAAGCCAATCTGGTACAAACAACTCATCAAGGCATCTCACAGGGAGGATCTGGCTCAGCCTGGATTACAACGAAATTTGAGATTCATCTTTTGAACAGACAAGGCCAAATTAAATCAATTTCCTTAAGTACTAATCAGAACATTCCAGATCCTTAAAAATGACAAATTCGGAGCAGCACTGCTTCAATGTGAATGTTAGTTTAGAGAGGACATCCTCAAATGGGATCTGGCAATGACACCACAGCAACCTGTTTTACTCATTTAGTCTGAGCGCATTTTGCAGAAAGCCGGCCACATGCGTCATAGGCACAAAGGGAGTAATGATACTGACCCACTTTGCTATTCACTAATGAAAAATGCTGTATCAGAACTAGGAATTATTATTGTTCCAGGCAGGAAGTTATGGCTGAATTTGACGGTAGACGTGCGCTCTCCTGTTGCATTCAGGAACATTATCCATAGGGTAGCAGTGCCCCCTCGCCCCCGGCACACCGAGGAGTCAGATACAACAGACCAAAGCCTGAAGTCCTTTCTTAGGCCGTAATTCAGCAAAGCCCTTGCTCAGGTCTCACTGAAGTCAATGGGAGCTGCAGGTGCTCAGAGTTGGAATTCTGTCTACGAGCCACCCAAGGAGCTTTGCCCCAGCGACCTGCCCAAGTCTACCTAGATCCGTGCTGGGATGAGAATTTGGGGGCTCCTGGTGTCAAGCTGTCCTGCAGCGGCTCCAGGGCATGGCTACCAAGCTCCAGGCAGACTGTTAGGAACCAGGGCACAAACCCCAGACTGGTTGCAAGTTCTACACTTAGATTTCACCAACCAATTAGCAAGTGTAAACTCCCCAGCCACTATAACAGTCTTCACATGGAGTCACAGTCTCCTTGGGTACTCCGATCTGTCTCGCCACCCAGGTGTGATAGCCGGGCCCTTACACCCAGGATCACAGCAATATTCAGGTTACTCCTGGTCCCAAAGGAACAGTCACTTTCCCGAGGTCAATTGCACCTTAGATCTCACCCCAAAGGACAATGCTTATAGCCAATCCTATAATAAACCGACTACAGATGTATTCACTAGGAAAAGGAAACAAGAGCGTCAAGAACAAGGTTAAAGCAGGTAAACATACATACACAAACGAGCTACAATCTTAAGCTTCAAAAGGTACTAGAAGCTTCTATAAAAGGCAGGCTCTATATGTCCTTTAGGGCTAACCAAAGCTAAGCACCGGGGTTCTCTTGCTTGTGCCTAGAAACCTTGCCCCCCAGAGTCCAGTCCTCCTTCTTAGGGGTTTTTATTCCCGTCTCCCCATGTTCCCTGAGCTGTGAACTCAGCTGATGGGAGGAAGCCACTTGCAAGACTCATCTTCATTGGGGTCGGGGAAGAGCAGAGCAACAAAGTCTTTTGTCCTCTTTAACGTCCCACACTAGCCCGTCTAGTGTCGATGGGCCTTCCCCGTTGGCCAGGATGTAACGCCTTCTGTTGGAGACCAGCACTTTACACTAGTTAATTGTCTCTCCCCTGTCTGGTGATTACGCAGTCACAGGGGCTTACTGTACCAATGCTTGAATAGAATATCTGCATCCCACATTACATGCTAATATGTGAGACTAATGCAGGCAGCAACTCACAAGCATTCAATACAGTCTAACACTAAACCCATAGCCCCCAGATGAGCCAGTCCGGTTCAGTGCTCAGTTGGGACCTGGGGATCTTGGCATGAGCTGGCACCTGGTCTGCCAGCCTCGCACCAGCTCCCTGCTCTGCGCTCAAATCACTCCCCTGCACTTCTCTTCAATAACAACTTTCTCTCTGCACACGAAGGAGCCTGGCATTGCCCTCACACCACCGTCTCTGTCGTTTGTGGTTTAGGCTCGTCTGTCCCCAAAGCTGCGGTGAAGTTGTGGGGATTCGTCAAACTCAAAGCCACTGTCTGAAGCGTTTCTTCCCTGCCACCGTTACAGGCCTCGTGTACGGTCACTAGAGGTGAGCGAGGCAGAGACACATCCCTTGGGCTGGCAGTTCGGTTACTCTGTGCCCAGGACAGCCCCTTGTGTGCCGCGGTGCCGCCGTGTCCCCGAGCAGCCAGCCTGCCAAGCTCCCGGTCCGTGTGGCTCTTTCGCACAGCAGCATGGGCGGGGTTTGGTTTTAAAGTCCATTAATGGCTATTAGCCAGGACGGGTAGGGAATGGTGTCCCTAGCCTCTGCCTGTCAGAGGGTGGAAATGGATGGCAGGAGAGAGATCACTTGATCATGACCTGTTAGGTTCACTCCCCCGGGACACCTGGCATTGGCCACAGGGGCGGCTCCAGGCACCAGCGCAGCAAGCGTGTGCCTGGGGCGGCAAGCCACGGGGGGCAGCCGGCCGGTCGCCGTGAGGGCGGCAGTCAGGCCGCCTTTGGTGGCACGCCTGCGGGAAGTCCGCCGATCCCGCGGTTTCGGCAGCAATTCGGCGGCAGGGACGCTGAAGGCGCGGCACTGGCGGACCTCCCGCAGGCATGCCGCCGAAAGCTGCCTGACTGTCGTGCTTGGGGTGGCAAAACCCGTAGAGCTGCCCCTGATTGGCCACTGTCGGTAGAGAGGATACTGGGCTGGACTGACTTTTGGTCTGACCTAGTACGAGCAAACCTATGTTCTTATGGCAGGAGGGGGAGTGGCGGATGGGCGTGGCTGCAGGGACAGGAAAAGATCCTGACATACCTTCAACTCCTTTAAAACAATGGAACAGGTTCCCGTTGCACTGGATAGTCTTGCATCACCGCTGACGCTGTGCAGCTTGGAGCTCGCTTGAGGCTTCGGGGCCACATCGCCCTGATCACGCGAGACCAAGCTGTCAGAATGGCTCAGCTCCCAACCGCTGGGCTCTTCTGAACACGTGGCTACTTACTGAGGTGCCACAGGGAGCTCCACGAAGCTCTGGCCCTAGTGGGTGCACACTCAGCTCTGGCTGGGACGTGGGATGCCAGAACTCTGTTACCTTCACTTCCCAGCCACTGGGATTTGCAGTGGTGAAGGGCGACAGCCCTGGAAACCCTGGCCCCTCGTTATCCACCAGCCTCACTCAGTCAAGGAAGCGAAAACATCCATTTCCTACACCTCACTGATGGCCTGAAACCTGACCCACATTTCTGTCTCTGAAAAGGAAACGGGACCTCACTCTGGGTTTCCTTCTGAGCACAAGCTACTAAACGGTGCCAAGAGACACCCACGTCGGACAATTACTTTGTGAGGCGCTCATTAGCGTGTGAATCCAGATCCATGATCCCACTGAGCTCATGTTGCAAGAGGACTCAACGTGAAGCCAAGGCACAGCTTGGAGATGGTCCCTAATCGCACAGAAAAACATTTCAAGAGGATTACGGTGTTTTAGCAACCAGGCCAAGTCCCAGGCCAGAGACTCTCACTGGAAGCAGTCACATTTCCTTAAAGAAATCTCAGCGCTCTCGGAAGCTGTTACACATATGTAAAAAGATCATACTGTGGTCTGAAGCCGTGTGAACGTCTCTAGCTCTAGTGATCCGAGGTGCAGTGTGTCGGGGATAGAGAGAAAGGAAAAGGATTTCTCTCCCTAGTCTCCTTTGTCGATTTCTACATGGTGTGTAGGGTCAGCCAGGGGCTACTCGGAGTCACTAGCTATCCAGCCAGGCTCCCCATTGGTTATCTGACTCTTTCACCCGGCAACAGCGGAGAGAAACCAACATGAAGACACTGGAAATGCTGTTCGCTTGCCCCCTGCCAGGCCTTGTGACTGTGACTGGAAACATTTTTGGCACTGCTGGAGCAGGCCGTGGCTCGAACTCCTGGGGCGAGCTTGCAAAGCAGGATTATTGAGAGTTTTAGCAGTGTGTAGCCTCCAGCATTCGTACAAATGTGTCTTAGAGCAAAGGACATTTTTCAGTACAAAAATCATCGACTGCAACTGAAATCAACACCAGCAAGAGCAGTAGCCTCCAGCACATGTGGGAAATCCACATCTACACAACACACAAGTCAATATCTACCCAGCCCGTACACTCAGCACTCCAGCAGGACCCTTCAGGCAATTCAAAGCCTCACTTTCCTCCCTCTGGTTCTTTCACTTCACTGCAGGCACAAAACATTCAAGTGCAAGGAGCCAAGAGTGGCTCCTAATATGGAGGTGCTCAGTGTCTGGGGTAGGTGGGGTCACTTGTTAGCACTGGACGTGGTCTGAATTCAGTGCAGGCGGTGGAGGGTGCGACCCATTGACACCTAGCATCACCACGATGCCACGCCCCCAGCCCCCAGCGGTGAGCAGAGAGGCCAGGAGGATGGTCGCGCTGCGCAGAACCTGTGATCAGAACTTGGCTCGGCTCAAGGATCAGACATGCAGCTGTCACACCTGCACCCACCTCGGCCTGGGGAAACGTTGCTCTGACAGAACTGAATCTTTGTGGCCAAGGTTTTGGACGTAGAGGCCCAGCGTTAGGCTCCTAAATCCAGCCGTAGGCACCTGAAGAGAAGCGGCCTTAGCACCCAGAAGTCACAGCGACTCCTCTGGGAGCATGGCCGGGAGCCAGGCCACGTCCAGGGAGCCTATGTACGGACTTCAGGAACTCAGCTTTGCAAGTTTGGCCTCTCTGTCCAAAGTGACACATGGAGCTAAGGTCTTAGGCAAAGAACAGCGTCCTGCATGTTTCTCTTCACACAGACACCAGCCTCTGAATATCCCCAATACACAGCCCCAGTAAGCAGGACCCACGGGATGGCTGTACTTTGCTCTGCAGAGTAAGTCTCCATGTGAGCACAGCACAGGGATGTCAGCTGCTGTCTCCCCACCTCTGCTGAGTGCCACGCCCACTGCCATACCTGTAGACAGGCTGCATCTCTCTGGCTATCCCAATGACGGCTCCTTGCAGGAAATGGTCAAACTCCTCGAACAGCTCTCGGATGTTGGTCTTGTACTTCAGGTCCAAGTCCAGCTGGATTATCCGTTCTATCTCTAGAAGAGACAGAGAAGAAAAATCAGCAACACAAGGTGACAAACTCAAGCAGCTGTAAATCAATGGGGACGTCAATGGGACTATCGTGATTTACTCCACCTCGGTAGCTGGGGGACCAATCTCCTCGGGGACAGGCTAGCCACAGGAGGCAGGAGGGGGATAAACTAACAGCATCAGGGGAGGGTAAAAAGAGGAAAACACGAGCCTTCAGTCAACACAAAATTGAGATGTTGAAGACAAAATTAATGAAGGAACCAAAGGCCGTGAAGAGAAGAAATTCTTAAATTGCCTACACACCAGTGCGAGGAGCCTGGGTAACCGCCAAGAGGAATCGGAATTGCTCATCATTAAGGCTACGATTTTGACACGGAGGTAGCAGAAGTCACGGAATCTGTGACTTCCAAAGACCTCCGTGACTTCAGCTCCAATTCCAATATATCTTTTTTGAGCTGGAGCGACCACATCTGCACGCAGTATTCAAGATGTGGATGTACCATGGATTTGTATAGAGGCAATATATTTTCTGACTTATTTTCTATCCCTTTCTTAGTGATTCTCAACATATTGTTTGCTTTTTTGACTGCCACTGCACATTGAGTGGATGATTTCAGAGAACTATCCACAATGACTCCAAGATCTCTTTCTTGAGTGGTAACAGCTAATCTAGACCCCATCATTTTATATGTATAGTTGAGATTATGTTTTGCAATGTGCATTACTTTGCATTTATCAACATTGAATTTCATCTGCCATTTTGTTGCCCAGTCACCTAGTTTTGTGAGATCCTTTTGTAGCTCTTTGCAGTCTTCCTGGGACTTAACTATCTTAAGTAGTTTTGTATCATCTGCAATTTTGCCACCTCACTGTTTACCCCGTTTTATGAATATGTTAAACAGGACTGGGCCCAGTACTATTTACCTCTCTCCATTCTGAAAACTGACCATTTATTCCTACCCTTTGTTTCCTGTCTTTTAACCAGTTACCAATCCATGAGAGGACCTTCCCTCTTATCCCATGACAGCTTACTTTGCTTAAGAGCCTTTGGTGAGGGACCTTGTCAAAGGCTTTCTGAAAATCTAAGTACACTATATCCACTGGATCCCCCTTGTCCACATGCCTGTTGACCCCCTCAAAGAATTCTAGTAGATTGGTGAGGCATGATTTCCATTTACAAAAACCATGTTGCCTCTTCCCCCAACAAATTATGTTCATGTTTGTGTCTGACAATTTTGTTCTTTACTATAGTGTCAACCAGTTTGCCAGATACTGAAGTCAGGCTTACCAGCCTGTAATTGCCAGGATCACCTCTGGAGCCCTTTTTAAAAATTGGCATCACATTGGCTATCCTCCAGTCATTTGGTACAGAAGCTGGTTTAAATGATAGGCTACAGACTACATTTAGTAGTCCTGCAATTTCACATTTGAGTCCTTCAGAACTCTTGGGTGAATACCATCTGGTCCTGGTGACTTATTACTGATTATTTTAGCAATTTGCTTCAAAACCTCTTCTAATGACACCTCATCTGGGACAGTTCCTCAGATTTGTCACCTAAAAATGATATACTTCATAAACATACATAATATACTTAGACTTCTGTAAGGCACTGGACTGGCACCACACAATTCTTTGATTAAAAAGCTAGAAAAATATATAAAATCAACACTGTACAGATTAAATGGTTTAAAAACTGGCTAATTGATAGGTCTCAAAATATAACTGTAAATGAGGAATTGTCATTGAATGGGTCTTTCACTCTGGGATTGGTTTTTAGTCCTAGGCTATTTAACATTTTTATCAATGACCTGGAAGAAAATCTAAAATCATGACTGATAACATTTGCAGACGACACAACAACTGGGGGAGCGATAAATAACGAAGAGGACAGGTCACTGATTGAGAGCAATCTGGATCATTTGGTAAACTGGGCGCAAGCAAAGAGTTGTAATATCGCTAAGTGTAACTATATCCATCTAGGAACAAACTTGCAGGACGGAGGGGTCTCTACCTGGGAAGCAGGACTCTGAAAAAGACAGGGGAGTCTTGATGGACAATCAGCTGAACATGAGGTCTCAGCACAACACTGCTAATGTGATCAACAAGAAGAACATGCTCTGGGGTGGATAAACAGGGGCCTCTCGAGTAGGAGCACTGGTGTCACTGGGACTTGAATCCTGTGTCCAGTTCTGGGTTCCACAATTCAAGAGGGATGTTGATAAATTGGAGAGAAGAGCCACGAGAATGATGAAAGGATTAGAAACCTGCCTGATAGTGACAGACGCAAGGAGCTCCATCTATTTAGCTTAACAAAGAGCAGGTTAAGGGGTGACTTGATGCCAGTCTATAAGTATCTACGTGGGGGACAAAGATTTAATACTGGGCTCTTCAGTCTAGCAGAGACAGGTCTAACAGGATCCACTGGCTGGAAGGTGAAGCTAGACAAATTCAGACTGGAAATAAGGTGAATTATTTTAACAATTAGATTAATTAACCACTTGAACAATTTACGAAGGGTTGTGGTGGATTCTCCATCACTGGCAATTTTTAAATCAAGTTGGGATGTTTTTCTGAAAGCTCTGCTCTGGGAATGATCGCGGGGCAGTTCTCTCTTTAGCCTGTGCTGTACAGGAGGTCAGACTAGATGATCACGACAGTCCCGTCTGGCCTTGGAATCTAGGATCTGGGCCAAACAGCTCAGTGGGCCGGATTCTGATCTCACTTACTTTGGTGTAAAGTGAGAACAGCTCCATCAAATTCAGGAAACTTAAATACTAATAACTTAGGCCCGATTCCTCAAAGGTATCTGGGCAATGGAAGTTAGGAGCTTAAATACCTTCCAGGTCTAGGCCTTAATGCTTTGGACAGGCATTCTGAATGTGCCGATGGACCCCTCTGATCAACCACTCACAGAGCTACCATTTAGGTTAGTTACAATTCTAGATTCTCTGGGCCAGATTCTAATTTCTCTTCCACTTGTGTAGACTGATTTCTGGTCATCATTTAGCTCTTGCTTCTGTCTACACCTCTCCCTGCTCTAGTTCGGTCTGTTGTTAGCCACCCGGAGAACTAACGGTGATACCGAGCTGTAGCTTTATTGAGTCTCCATGGATGCTTTGAAGCAAGGTTCTGTCTTGGGAAGTGAGTCTGTAGAAAGAGCCTCACCTGTGCATTCACTGTGTCTCAGGCCATGGCTACACTACAGAGCTTACAGCCATGCCGCTGCCCCAGTGCAGCTGTGCTGATGCTCTAAGCCAACGGGACAGAGCTCTCCGTCGATGTAATTCATCCACCCCCAACGAGCGGCGGTAGCTCTGTCGACAGGAGAAGCTCTTGGGCCTGTCCACACCAGTGCTCAGGTCACTCAGGGGGTGGGGTATTCACACCACTGAGTGACACAACTTATGCCGACCGAAGTGGTAGTGGGTACCACATCAGCTCATCCCCCAAGCTCAGAGAGTGCTCCAGCTGCCAGCCCTGCCGACTCAGAGTACCAAGGTGCGGCTTTCCACCTCAGGCAGCATCATTACCCAAGTCAGGTTCTATGGGTCAAATTATGGCCTCAGCATCACCGGTGCAACCCACTCGCTTCCAGTGAGCGTGGGTAGCTAGCTCCCAGGTCACCGCACAGACTGGGCTGCATGGGAGAGCGGATTTCGCAGCGCTGGCAGCTGTGCTCAGGATGAGCCAACGTGCTCTAGAAATCAGAGACGCAGTGAGAAATGAGCCAGGGTCCCTTGCAGGGCAGACCTGCGCTGAGTGCCCGGCTCAAGGCCCAGTGTACGATTTGCTTCTCCAGAAGAAACACTCCAATACCCTTCTAAGCAGCATGCGCCGAGCCGCTCAAACCGGACGACTCACCGAGGCCGATATGCGCCGTGACTTTACAGTGCCGGAGGCCTCCACTTAACCACAGAGAAGGTGCAGGGACAAGGATCTTCACCTCGCTCAGCCACACGCCCGCCCCTACCCCGGCGCGCCAGAGACAGCTCAGTCTCCAGGCTCTACCCAGGCCTTGCCCCCACCCTCTGCTGACAGGGCCAATGAGTGACCGTCGCGGGGCCCTGGTCACTTGGAACTGCTCTGAGATCCACCACGTCAGCCCCAAGGATCTTCACCTCGCTCAGCCACACGCCCGCCCCTGCCCCGGCGCGCCAGAGACAGCTCAGTCTCCAGGCTCTACCCAGGCCATTGAGTGACCGTCGCTTGGAACTGCTCTGAGATCCACCATGTCAGCCCCCCCACCCCTGACGCACCAAGCAGCCAGGGGATCATGCCGGACTCGTTCTAGCTGCAAAGAGGGAGATGAAAGGCTCCTTGGCCCATTCCCGATCCCCCCAGCTCCTTCACACACCGCCTGGCGGAAGGGCACAGCCCAGCCAGGTAAGGCAGACTTTGGCAAGAGGGGATGGGAGGGCTGGCACCATTCGGCGCAGCTGGGGAGAAACCCTTTTCCAGAGCGCTTGTTCCATGTGGATTTCATTCACTGCATTTACATTTCAGCAGGCGAAAAACAGCATTTCCCCTGCCCATGGCCAAACAGTGCCCACCTTTAATATGAGCAGAGTCCTGACGGCTCCACATCCCACGACTGTGCAGCCAGTCGTCTGTAGCTACATCAAACGCTTTTCAGTGGCTGCTCTGTTCTGTAACATCACAGCTATTTATACATTTCACGATCAAAGCCAACAGCACATTGGCTGCGATGCTGAGTGTTCCCCACTAAGAGGATTAAAAGGACTTTGTCAACTTGTTTCAGTACCTACATGTTATGTACCGGTGCCGTTAAACAGCGACCATGTGGCCTCTTAGAATCCAAGTATCTTTTTCCTCAACCACCTGCTCTACCACCACGGAGCTAATGAAGCCTGGGAGACTCCATCACAGGTCTATGGTGATGAGCACAACACAAGTGCTTTGTACAAGCAATAGTGAATAATCACCACATTCCCCCTGGGAAGCAGGCGGGTGTGAACGTCTGTGGGCACTAGTCTCCCCCTCTAC